GCTTTGCCACATAGTTATGTTTTGCTTAAATTCCAGATTTTCTGCCTCGCTGCACTTGTTGCCGCGGGAACAAATCTGGTCGGGGTCGCCCCTTTCTGCCGTGATTGAACGACGCCCTGTACTTTCACAAGGCAGTGCCGATGTTGCAGTCATTCGTCGCTGTGATCCTTCAGCTCATGCGAGTATCCAGGACACACCTCGCTCAACGTGCTCGTCGACCCCCACCTACGTTGACGGCAGCAGCGCTCAGCGGAGCTTCACGGCGGCTCCCAACGTAGAGTCTGCCTCCCATGGCACGACATACGACCGTTCACGGTCTCCTACTCCACCGGCGGCTCCAGCGCTCCCAACGTAGAGTCTGCTTCCCATGGCACGACATACGACCGTTCACAGTCTCCTACTCCACCGGCGGCTCCAGCGCTCCCAACGTAGAGTCTGCCTCCCCTGGCACGACATACGACCATTCACAGTCTCCAACACCGTCAACGCTGATGTCTCGGCGCCTCCGATGACTCGGCGCCTCCGGCGCCTCTTATGTCTCTGCGCTTCAGCGCCTCCGCATCCTCTGATGTCTTCGGCGCTCAACAAGCTTCAGATCAACAAACTTTATCAAGCTCAGATCAACGAGCCGACCATCCGATCTTCAACTGCGGCTTAAGGGGCACCATCCGGCGCCTCTGATGACTCGGCGCCTCTGATGACTCGGCGCCTCTTATGTCTCTGCGCTTCGGCGCCTCCGCATCCTCTGATGTCTTCGGCGCTCAACAAGCTTCAGATCAACAAGCTTTATCAAGCTCGGATCAATGAGCCGACCATCCGATCTTCTACTGCGGCTTAAGGGGCACCATCGGCAATCGCCTCCCCGGCGCCACTGCCCTCTTCTCTTGCTGCCGTCTCATAACTCGTCACACGGAGAAGCATGGTGAAACAACTGTCGCCGCTCCTGTCGCTACTCTCCCGTCGGTCTTCGGGGGGATAGTGACTATCGTTCTACTTCCTGGGTGGAATCATTTCAACCAATAGACAGTTGGTCTGATTCAACTTGCCCACTGAGACGTTATCCATAATCCCGTCGTTTAAAGCGCTATGATTCCGGAGAGATGACCTGCGGGTTTTCCATCGAAACAGAGCGTCATGTGAACTGCGTCTGTATCAGATTCGACGACGACATCAACTTACAAAGAGTTTACTTCGTCGACATCGCAGACATCAACGCTGTTCTACCCTACCCTAGCGCCAGCGTTCCTGAAAGAGACTCTTCCTCGGCGCTCCCCGGGTTTTCCACGACGCCCATGGGGTTCCGTGTTTTACCGCAAAACTCGGGTACACCACTTGATCGTCTCTCACACAGTTCATTGAGGATTGTCTGTGTGTGGAGTTTGCACCTCAGTTCCGACTCCAAGGCGGTTTTCTCGGCTACTGCGCAGAGTGATTTACATGTCACGTGTCAAGTACTTGGACTGTCAACAACTCCGACCGGATTTAGGTCAACTTACCATGGCAAGGGGTGCCATGTATTTCTGCAGATTGGTTTCCATGTCTACCTGTACGCTTGGTGATACCACTCAACCAGGCGCCTGTCGCAGTCCATCCATGCACGGATGTTGGAAACAATAGACCTCCTCTTCCAACACGGCTGTCACGAGGAACCTTGTTTCATCAACCCTTCGCTATAAGAACGATAGCGCCTATAGGCGTTCAAGGGATGGAAAAGATCGCCTTCCTTCGTCCGGTTTGATCTTTTCGACTACGACACCTTCCTATCTTCCGCCTTGACTACCGGACACAGTGTCGATTTGATACTTAAAGTCCCTCGGCCGTCCCACTGACCCCTGTTGCATACCTGCCTCGTATCGTGTTGTCGTCCTCCATCGTCACCTCGATATAAGAACAGGAGTACTTATACGCTGCTTCAGGGATGAAAACGATCTCATTACTTCGTGCAATGGCCATATTGCCTCGACTTCCTACTACCCGGTTACGTCGATGCCCCGGCGGTCGATTGTGAAGCTGGTTTACTTCGTCTACCTGAGGTTGGCTCTCAGGCGATCACACCTTTTTCCGAATCGTACCGACGGTACGCAATCGCAGACCCCTGTTGCTGACTTCCTCCCCTGCCACCTTGTCAGTGGCTAGTGGCCCACACCAGCCCACATTGTGACCACCTGTGATCCAGAGATCAACACCATTGGCACAGCAACAGCCTCGAGATAAAGGCTTATCCAGGACGTCACTTGCTGACAGTGCATTCTCGGTCACGCCCTGTTGATCGTGTCCACTGACGACGTCACCGTAGTGTGGTGTTTGCGGACCCAGAGTACTCGCCCCTCTCCCGGTGCTACAAACTCGACCGGTGCCCCCAAGAATCACCATCTTCGGCGTTCCAGGCGCCTCAAGCTCTCCGACGCCTCACGCTCTCCGGCGCCTCGGGCCAGACTATGTCAAACGGTCGACACCCCAACCCTAGATCTGTTTGCCTCATATCTGAATGTGGCCAGCTGTCGTCTTCCATTCCACCTGTGCCGGATACGACCGCTGTGGCAGTCGAAGCCTTCCATCGTTCCTGAGAAGGATTACGCGCGTACACTTTTCCGACTCCGGTTCTCCCTCCCACGGATCTTCAGAGATCCAGGCCACGACCCCTGCCATTGACTTTGGTCCAGCCTTATTGGTCAGCCAGAAGTTGGGTTATCGACCTCAGAAACATAGCCAGAGACAACCCCTGGAACCGGTGTGGTCCAACCTTCTGCTCCATCCACACGGTCTGTTGCCACACCCTCATACCCGCATGTTATCGTCTGCACGCCTGACACGCATGCAGAAAGCCAAGGGCTATTCGGCTAGAGCGACCAAGGCTATTGCTTCAGCCCACCGTCCATCTACAGGGGGAGTGTATGCTGATAAATGATGCTTGTTCCAGGCATTTTGTTCTGACAAACACCAGGATCCGATGACAGCGTCACCGCAGATCCTGGATCAGTTCCTTCTGTACTTGCGTAGCACCCGTCGGTTGAAGGGCTTACCACCCCCACATACCTGGTCACCATCTACTCCGTTCTGGCCATCCCGGACGATCGGAGAAAGACGAAAATTCCCGACCTACGGGCCTGGCTGCGCTCGTTCAGTCTTGAAGACCTGAAGGCCAAGTTCGGACCGCCTGCGTTGGATCTGAATGTGGTCTTCAACGCCCTTCGAACCACTCCCCTCGTCTTCCTTCTACGACCTTAAGTAGAAGACGGGTGTTTCTACTGGTTTTGACTACTGCCGCTCGAGTCCATGTACAGCACGCCCTCGACGTCTCCCGTGCCCGGTTCGAATGCGGTACCCAGGGCGCCGTTCATCATGGACCATACTGGGACGTCAGCGTAAAGACTCAACTCCCAGGACAGCCTGATAGATCATTCCTTGTCCCCTCCCCCCTCGTCCAGTGTGGGTGCCGAGGATGAGGATGAGCGTCATTATGCCCAGTAAGGGCACTGAAGGTTATTCTACGATCTAAAGACTGCCGCAAGTCTAGGAAACACCTTTTTCTGCCGGTCTCCCCTTCGTCGCAGTCGTTGGTCAGCCGGAATACTTTTCCCTGTGGCTCCGGGCGGTCATCCTTAAAGCTTATGAGCCGCCGGATTGGACCCTCCCCCCAAAGGCTATCACCTGAAATAAAATGAGATCAGGGCGATCGTATTTACACTGGTTCTTCACGGTATACTGTTCCATCCAGTCGTTCAGGGAAGCCTGTTCGTGGCGATCGGACACCGCCTTCACCAACCACTACTTCCGTGATGTAGCCTTGAAAGTTGTCGCCGGCGTTCACAGTTTTGGTCCCTGGTTGTAGCCCAACAGGTCATCTATCTCCGACGCCACTGATTCTCCGATACCCTGAGCGGGGCCCGTCGACCTCTCTGGTGTTTATCACCCCAGACGAGACGGCTCTCTTGCGTTCCGCATTCGCTCTTAGGTCAGTTTTAGTTTTGGGTTACCCGACTCATTCTATTGCTGTCACCTATCCGGGTTTTACTTTTTGCATCAACTCTCGTTTCCTGACGACAGGAATGATAGTTGATGTGGACACCGGCGCCGACGCCAACGCCGCTGCTTCTCTGATACCTGAGCGGTGCCCGTCGACCTCACCGGTGTTCCTTGCCTCCAGCCTAGAGGGCTCTCCTGCGTTTCGCATTCGCTCTTGGGATTGGTCGTATATTTTGCCGCTGACGCCGCTGATTCTTCGATTCCCCGAGCGGGGCCCGTCGAACTCTCTGGTGTTTATCGCCTCAGATTAGAGGGCTCTACTGCGTTTCCCCTTCGCTCTTCGGTAAGTTATATATTTTGGCTACACGCCTCATTGTATTTCAGTTACCTATTCGGGCGTTTCGTTTTTGCATCGACTCTTGTTTCCTGAAGACAGGAATGGTCGTAGATGTTCCGGTCATCACTTGTATGCGGTGCGGATTCATCGGACCTTGACGAGGGTTTAATATGGTTCACATCTGCAGGTATGCCCACCGGCCATGCCGTCTGATAAAGATGCAATACGGAGTAATGCAGGATAAGTTAAAATATTTAGTAAAATCTAAATATTTTTTACATTTGTATACTTATCCTGCATTACGAAGTCTAAGTTCCCTCCCTTTCGCTACGCTACCTCCCCACGAAGTTTCAGATGTTATGTTTAAAGCAGTTATGTCTTTTGGTGTGACGTCATGACTTCCGGGTCACGTGCCGACTGTGAGAGGGTGCTGCCTCCTGGGCTGGTTGGGACAACTTTCTTCAGCAGCTGGATCTCACACAGTTCGTCTCTCTGTCAAAGACAGCAGTAAATGCAATACGGAGTAATGCAGGATAAGTATACAAATGTAAAAAATATTTAGATTTTACTAATTATGTTTTATAAAGAAGTTTAAAATTGGTGTAAGCAAATAAGATTTACATTTTTCAGTAGTTGTGTATATTGGCTTTCCTTAATCATACCAATTTTAATTATGTTCAATAATTTGTGTTTTCAGCAGGAGAAGATGGTCAAGTGAAAATCTGGTCCCGCAGTGGAATGCTCCGCTCAACTCTTACACAGAACAGTAAGTAGGGAAGTGCATGGTGGAATTCTCCACCAATCTCTTTAAACTCAGATATAGGAAATCTTATTATGCGTCACAGCAAATGACCATTCGCCCAACCAATAAAAACGTTGCTTACCAGATTGAGAAAGTGACAGTTGGAATGTATTTTCCAATCATTCAACCTCGAAAACGTTTACACAGGGTATTATGGATGACAGTTACAGACTGTACGATTGATTCTTGCTTAATGGGTTAATCATTTGGACTTTCCATTGCCTGTGGGATTTTCTGCCATACAATCTTGGCCATCTATTAGACATTCCAGAATTTTCTTTTGTTCAGTTTTAAACGTTTGAATTTAGAACATTGACAAAATAGTTTTCAGAGCGTAATCTAGAATGAAAGTAGTCAGTTTGAAACAAGTCCCATTATGCTTGAGAGAGCTGCTTTCTGATTGGCTAAGGTTGACTTCTTGTTAGTACTTTCATTGGTCAGTTGAAGTTTGCGAAAGGTCATTCAAACATCATGGAATATCCTCAGATCTGCGTTTAGCTGTAGCGTGCACTAGGATGTGATTTTAATGAGATTGAATCCTCGCTCAACTCTTACAAAGAAGATTGAGTGGAGTAATGCAAAATGGAATTCTCTGCTCACCTCTTACACAAAGAAATAATCTTTAGTGTAAGTTGCAAGTCATTATTTCTGTATGTATATTTGAGAAATGAACCATGAGTGGGAGTTCTTTATCGTACAATGAAACACTGCAGGGAGAATAAACCATGAGGGGCGCAGTTCTTTGTCGACCACAAGTTATTTAATTCTTTAACTTATCCTGCATTACTCCTTAATGCATTCACTGCTTACCTTATGACAATAGTGATGCTGTGTTTGATCTTGCTGAAGAAAGAAAAAGTGCTGTTCAGTTCCAAAGCAGGACCCGCCTGCAATCACTAGCTGCCACGTCATACTGTACGTGGTAGACAAAAGATGTTGGTCACGACAGCGTACAGACGTGCTACTAAATTGATCCTCTAGTTTTGCTGATGGCTGTCCTTGTGGTTATCAACTCTCATATATAAAGACCCATATGCTTTCCCCCCTGGGACGGGTGATGTCTGGTTTGGTGTATTTATAACATGTATATTTTTTACTTATCCTGCATTACTCCTTAATGCATTCACTGCTTACTTACGACAACTAGAAGGACAGCGCTGCGAAGGTCCTGGGTGAAGAAATAAAGTTGTTGTTCTCAAGTCCCAATCAGTGGCCTTCCGTCGCTGTCCTGTGACCTTGATGACACCTAAGGTCATCTTCACATCACTGCTTGTCGCAGCACAGCTAGAACGTGTCCAAGCGGAGCTCTCCTTTTGGATTAATTTTAGACCTTCAGTTTGTCTACAATCTTAAAAATTGATCTGCGATGGGTGATGTATTCTTTTCATATTACTTTCACCATGTTGTGTAGTTTTATGTGAATTAATTAGGCGTGTAAAGACTCGTCTTTTTTCCCGCCAAAATATTGTTGTTCGCCGCCATTTTGAATTGTGTTACAATCGTTTGCCTGCCAAGGTAGTCATATTGTTTACAATTCTCAGCTACGTATGTATAACATATTCTTATGTTCTTAAATACTACTAGCTTTGGCGTAACAGTGAGTTGCGTATACTCAAATTATTGTATACTTTTTCAACTCGTTAAAAATATGGTTGCCGATAGATTAATATCAAATCTACGGCATTCTTCCAGTACCGCTTTATCAACAATTCTTTTATTGCGTACCTATGTTTATGCGATTAAATAGTTTTTTGTTGGTCTTTTTGGTTTACATTGAGTTGCGTATATGAACTATTGTATATTCTTGCAACTCGTAGTTTTGCCGATAGATTATTGTTCAATTCTATGGCATTATTCCAGTACCGCCTCATCAACAATGGCGTAATTGTGTAACTTATGATTGAGCGTGGTACTAATTGTCGTGGGAAAAATCTTACAAAGATTATCATCCACGTTGTTTGGTCTGTACGCAGATGTGCTCTCCAAACCCTAAATGAAAATAGCCTTGGTTTACATTTAGTTGCGCATACAAAAATATTGTATACCTTTGCAACTCATAATTTTGCCGATAGATTAGTGTTCAAATTCTTCGGCACTCTTCCAGTATTGTCTCATCAACAAGGGTTTAATTAAGTAACATACCTTTGAGCATTGTACTAATTGTCATGGAAAAAACCTTACAAAGATTATCATCCACGTTGGTTTGTTTGCGCGCAGATGTGCTCTCCAATCTCTAAATGTAAATAGCCTTGGTTTACATTGAATTGCGTATATAAAAATATTGTATACCCTTGCAATTCGTATTTTTGCCAATAGATTACTGTTCAATTCTACGGCATTCTTCCAGTACCATTTCTTCAATGGTTTAATTGCGTAACTTATGTTTGCGTGGTGTACATATTGTCGTGGAATATTCGCCCAAAGCTCTTTATCCACGGTCCTAGGCATGCACGTAGATGTGCTCGCCAAAATTCAAAATGTAATTTTTGTGTAAATCTCTAATCCAACGAGTTTACTATATAAAAGCAGATTACTCACAATCATATTTTGCAGTTATTCCGTCGTGAGACGAGAGGAATGTCACTATCGCAGAATAGCGAATGACATGGTTCGGTCATTACCACCCAACCGTTATTATCGGCAGGTATTATGACGCCTGTGACTGCAGAAGTACACCATCCACCGAAATCAACAATACCGGAGGATTTTGTGAGTATCGTAACTGCTCCTATTTTTTCAGCCGCCGGACACTTCAAGATACATGTATGTTAATCTGTGACGTCGGCGACAGCACCAGCGTATCAAGATGCTATGATGGGGGTAGATTAGACGCAAGCCTTGATCCAGTCAATACTTTTGAGCTTTGTGTCTGATTTATCTGCGCCGAGCGCAGCACTTGACTACAACCCAAGCACTTCTATTACGCAAGCGACGCAAGATCAGCTTAGCGCTGTTCCAACATCTCCAGCATAGACCTGCGCCGAGCGCAGCGTCTGACTGCTACCCAAGCGCTCCTATCACGCAAGCGACGTACGATCAGCTTAGCGCTGTTCCAACATATCCAGCATAGACCTGCGCCGAGCGCAGCGTCTGACTGCTACCCAAGCGTTCCTATTACGCAAGCGTTCCTATTACGCAAGCGTCACACGATCTGTTTAGCGCTGTTCCAACATATCCAGCATAGACCTGCGCCGAGCGCAGCGTCTGACTGCTACCCAATGCGCCCCTATTACACAAACGTAGCACGATCAGCTTAGCGCTGTTCCAACATTCCAGACCTGCGCTGAGCGCAGCGTCTGCGTACCAATCAAGGTCTCTACAATGACGTTAGCCCAAGGCTTACAATGTACTCGGTTACGTTACCGGCACATGATCAGCTTAGCACATGTACCCGATTGGGAAGCAGACCATCTCGTGTCAGTAACGCCCTCCCCTGATAACAGGGTAAATAAGAGGGACACCACGAGGTCATTGGAGGAAGACTTCTCCAAAACTCACTTTTGCTCCGTCATTTAAGCGACCAATATTGTCAATGTTTGCAGTAGATCAGAATCTATTAGAGGATAACCCTATCTGATTAGATCACTTCCAAACTATGGTGTTTTTCCTACAGCGTCAGTTTGACCACAGGAAAATTCATCTTGAGACTGTTCTGACGGAGATTACCGATACACCCAAGACTTTATAGCGTTTCCAACTGAGATGCTGGTTTCAAGGGCAGTCTATTACGTCAATCTTGGTCATCTACTCCCCTGTTCAACGAACTGATCGCAGACACGCACGTCAAGTTCCCCAAAAGCTTTGAAAGTCCAAGCGGGCTGGCAAGTCAGGGAATCATAAGCCTTGACGCGCGTTTCTCAGGGAAGACCAGCATTCCCTTACTGAGAAAGGGAGTGGCAGAGACAAGTCTCAAGGACGATTTCGTACTTATCGCACTATATCATGGTGTCCGTATACGGGTAGAGATAACCCTACCGTTGACCACAGTTTGATTGGGAAAATCCAACATTGACATACTGTTGGTAAGAAGAGCTGTAGAGTGGGTTCACAACCCAGTCTTTACACCAGGGTTTTATCCTCACACCTACCTGGTACTCATGAAGGACCCAGACAAGATGAGAATGATCCACAATCTCTGTGTTCAACGAACGTTTGATTCTTGATCTGTCTCGACTATCCATCCCAACCGTAGACTTTTCAGGTCCAGTTCATTGGGGTTCACTACCAATGGTAGTATTTCCCATTTGACATGTCAGTGACACTTATGGCTATTTACAGGAGTAATGAAAGCCAATAACTATCTACACGTGACGAACACTTGGTTCGAGTCGTAGATGGAGGGCGATCTACTGTATCATCAACACATGTCAATAACTGGGATAGACAATCAACGAGACGAAGTTGGGAGTATTCTCCTTCCTATTGACTTCAGTTCATAGGAGACCTGTTCAAGACAGACCAGGATATCCTATCTGTACCGAGGGACAGATGGCACAAGTTTCTACTTCTTTTGTCATCTACTCTACACCAACCACACACACTTCGCCAGTGGCAAGTGTTGCTAGGGTTAATCACCTCGGCACAGGAGTTAACTAGCACGGGCCGCTTACAACTGCGACCAATTCAATTTTTACCTGAACCCTTACATCAGGAGTCAGGATCCACTCAAGGCCATCACTCTACCGACTAAGCTAGAGCCTTGCCTGAAATTTGTGGCGTTGAATGTCTGCGGAGTCTCTTTATTCGTGTTTTCCCCGAATACACACCTGTTTGTGGACGTCCCCTTCCAGGGGTGGGGTCTTCACTTACAAGACCAGATAAACTCAGGGCTATGGCCCGGCGCTCAGTGGAAGTGGCACACAAACAACTTGGAGTTGGAAGCTTTAATTCTGGCTATATCACATTGGCAGAATCAACTACAGTTAGCCCGACTCGCAATATCCACAGACAACAGCACTGTGGTG